GGCTCCCTACTAACAACTGACATGGTTTATGTTTCGTTTTCTGATCCTGCCAGTAGAACTGATTACTGTGTAAGAACGGAACAAAAGACTGTGTGACAGATTGTCGGTCTCTGTTCTGCATGTAGTCAACAGATTTCTTCTGAATTCATTTATTCAGAGGGCACTCCTTGATCAACGACTGAATTGAGCTATTGTAAAGTTGCTCAGGACTACCGCGAAAGCGATCCTCTGTTCAATACTGAGGTCGGTGAGACTTGTTTTAACAACATTTATCAAATCTTTTGGACATTGTGTGGGCCTGTCGAGCACGATAGGCGTCCAAGTCGCTATGTTGTAGCTCGCTAGGGCGCCATAAGGGTACCTTCCTTGGAAGAGGCGCTACGCGGCGCCTGCTCAGAGGCGCCGAACTCAGTCCTGCTAGGTGTTCCTACAAGTCTTGGGGATTTATCGTGCCACATGCCGTTAAGGGTTCGCACTTCTGTAGTTTTAACGAGATTAGCGGAGAATGCGTTAAACGATACCAACTCGAATCGAATGAAAGGGAGTGGGGCTAGAATGCTCGTACGAACTACTTGAAATGATGTCATTGTTGGAGTGCTTGTGTCTCGAGGGCACTATTGAACTATTCCTACCCCAGAAAATCAAAACAGAATTTATTTTTTCGCTGAAACTTTGTCTATAGATGTTATTCGACGTCCTGATCACGAATATGGCACTTATTTTTGACGCTGGCGCCACCTGGCTAGGCATCAGTTCGGCGCCACACCTTTTCTTCCCAAAATCGATAAAAACTTGCGTAATAGGGTTGTTTGATGCCCTGATCACGAGTATGGCATTTATTTCTCCATACCAGCGCCATTAGCGTTCTGCTGAGGCTGAACCTGGGAAAAGGAGTGATTCTTTCAGGCCAGGCTCAGTCTAGCAAAGCGCAGATGACCATAGTGTCCTACGTTAGCGCCGGCGCCAAGAATAAATGTCATATTCGTAATCAGGATGTCAAATAACCCCCGTATACAAGTTTTCATCGATTTTGGTGATTTAGGGTGTTTTGGCGCCGGCGCCTGTGGCGCGGGCGCCAGGCGGTTTTGGCTCAAGCGGATGCGATATTCATGTTTACGGGGGTCAAACTACCACCTAGTGACAAGTTTTCCAGCGAATTTGGTGACTCAGGTTATCTCGGCGCCGGCGCCTGTGGCGCGGGCGCCAGGCGGTTTCGGGCGAAGCGGATGTGATATTCGTGTTCAGGAGGTCGAAGTACCTCCTATAAGCAAATTTTCATCCAAATCTGCCCTTGTAGAAAAAAGTCGATAAAAAACCGGCCTGATTTCGGCAGACTGGGGAAGGAATAGTTCAACAGTGCCGCCAAATTGTACACTCACCTCCAAGTACGGGTTGATCCTTTTTATGTCAAGGCGTATTTTTCCTCTCAAAAGTGCATGAGAAGGGCGTAGGAGGGTAATGATACCCGTGTGCTGTGTCCCGACTCCGCCCCGCATCCCGTTCCCCCTCATCAACAAGGTGCACTTGCATCAAAGTCTCAGTGAGAGGTAGGGAACAGCTCGAAGCAAAAAGGCGTTAAGCTATGGTCAGGGTATGTGAGGCGTTTCTTCCCAGTCACACCATTGCAGTACGGGTTGACTAAGGAGATGAACTCGACACGCAGCTCCGCTGTCATGTTGAATAGTCTGGGTTCAAGGGCGGATGCTGCGCACGTCACTTGCTTGCGACACCTATTTCGCCGCATGGGAAGTATCGCTCCACACCCATGGTTAGGCGTGTGGAGGATAGTCGTGCGGCTGCGTCTGTGGAGATGATAGATGGCCTACGGATATCAGCACTCTGCTACTCCGTTCCTGTGCAGTTTTGTGCCGAGAAAATGGCACACTACTGGAGCTGCGGACCCATTCGCACGGTACGTGGCGAAATTCAGGATCCACAAACGTGCTTGTGCAGTTTGTCTTCGAAGGCACGGAAAACTTTCTGTTCAAGAGTTTCTGATTCACAGCCCTTTCTGCCACTTTCGTCCTTCGAGAGTGCGTGGGAGTAAGCTGTGGCCCGCAGAAGCTTGAACACCGCATTTGTGTACTGTAATTGTGCAGTTCCTGGAGGGAAGGTATGGTGGTAACTGCCACGCTTACAACAGCGCTGTCCTGGGGCCGAACTCATCAGCTTCCGCCCAAGCCAACCAAGCCATCTACCCTGAGGGGAGGCAGTATATTTGTACCAGATTCGTCTGGAAGGACTAAAACACTAATCTGTGCAGTGGCAGGCTCCCACTAGTCATGACATGGGCCACATCGCATTCAGTGAGTCACTAGGATTTGGATGAGTATTTAGCAGTTGCTTCGAAAAGTCTGCGACATTTGATTGAAATTGTTTTTCCTAGAAAAAGACCAAAAATATTTTTGATGTTTTTATCCTGATTATGTGGGGTGGTCCTCTGGGGGTTTCTGCACCATGGCGTATATCGATTGAACTTTGGTGGTAAGTTTTCAAGCTTAAAAGTCCCGCAGAGGTCGAGGATACTTTTCGACCTATCCCATATTATGAGTTCCTGTAGGGCAACTCCGCCGTAATCGAGGAAGCTAACACTTACGTTGTCTTGAGGAAGGAGATCGCTTGCCATGAAAGAGGGTAGCTGTTGCATCAGCGCTTCCAGGCTGGGCTTATTTACCTCGTCATCTAGGGCAATTGTGTAGGTCGCCCACCAGCACAAAATGACGACCCTTTACTCAAGCTTCTTGAGCCGCAGCCGAAGGTAACCACCAGTAAGTTGGCAACCTCTCTAGGCTCCACCTGCCTGACAACTTCCGTGCTTCTCCGCAATCTCGTTATCGGAAAAATTCTATGTGAAGGATGCCTCATGAGTTGGACCGTAATTGACAAGGCTATACCGAATGACCGCATGTGGGAATCAGGCCACGTCAAAAAATCATGAATTTTGATCAGAGAATGCGACCGTACCCAGGTTATTCAGCAAAGTTAGCGGCCTCTAATTATCACCTCTTTTGGTCCCTATTGCATCCTTTGAAGAGCAAAAAGCCCGAAAATCGACCTCAACTCGAGAATGAGGTCCACCTCTTCTTTTTATCACAGTTGCCGTAGTTCTATGAGAATGGAAATTGAAAGCTGTGCAAGAGGGACTAGTCTAGTCATTCAACTATAGGTTACCTCATGGACTATGGAGATGTCTATTTGGGTGACAGAAATTTGTGTTGAAAATTTCGGTTTCAAGGTGTCGCAGGACTTTTCGAAACCTAATAGAATGGTGCGTGACGCTTTCTAGAACGGGGCTGCACCATGTGTGAAGAGTTCTCGTCTGGCTTTTAATTGTGCAGTATTCCATGTTGAGTGAAGGGCGAGGTACGACTTGTGGTGCTCTGCGCGTTGATGACGGCCCATGGGCTCAGGCTTTATCCTGCAATGGGGTTTCCTACCGCTACGGCTCGCTTGGTTGCATACCGTTCTGCGAGAGGCAAAGCTTTGGCTCTAAATTGACAATTAGTACAGCGAAGTCTTTGAAAGTTTGAGCTTCAACAGCAGCGTTCGCAAAGTTGACTGGCTTGAATAAAACGGAATAATAATTTATGCAATTACTAAACGATATTCAATCACATCCAGTAAGCGCTTTGTAGTCCTCAAGCCATTTCGCGTACTTTGCTTCACCTTCTCCAGCCAATATGTGTGCGAAACGCTCGCGATACTTCTCAAGAAAATAAGCCAACAACACGCGGTGTAAATAAATGTACTGCTGAAATGTAGTACAATAAGTATAATTGAAAGGTCTGTTTGAGGAATTCCAGGTATGTTTTGGGTTGGCGGGGAAGTTCTGTCATACATTTTCGAGCTCAAAATACTTGCTCATTACCTGAAGGGTGACCTGCAATGTGAGCAGTTATACAGCAGAAAACAGTCCTACTGGTACCACTCGCTTGACTCCTGCTTCTTCTTCTTTTGCAATATGTATGGACAATAATGGTATTCGCTACCGTCGGCACAGACCCTCCATGTGCCTTACTCTTTCTTCTACCACCCTAACGCCAGCATGACAGCTGCCGATGCCAAAATAATGGAGCTGCATAAGACGATGCCCTCAATTATCGGACAACCTTCCACGACGCTAATGCTTCAAAGCGGGAGCCTACAGTTTCTGATGACAAAGTGAGGTTTGGATGTATATGCGAATTCAGCTGGAGGGGTGGCGGATCGTGAAACTCCTGGGTGAACAAGCCGCTTTCTGGGACAGTCTGTACGCAAAGCAGCTTTGCAAATCGTCGATCGAGGAAATTTGTCCGCACAGTCCGTCTTCAACATGACCGTGCAGCCCACTCCGTCCAAGAAAGGTCGAGCCAAAGCTCACGCAATAGAGCTGGATGGCTGTCTCTTTGCGCATATAGCCCAGTCATTGCTCCCTCCAACAGGTGGCTACCTTCCGTACTTACCCGCTGTGGACGAGAAAAGCTTCACCACCCGAGCCCAAGTCAAAATCGAGATGATGTCCAACTTTGCGTCGCGCCGATCTGCATGAAGCGATGGCATCCATGAGGTGCTCAAAAACTGGCAGGGATCCCGCAATGACATTGCTGTATAATTTTGATCTTGTACGCCTCTCTATAAAAAGAAAGCCTAATTTGAAAAAATGTGACAGAATTTTCCTCGCCAACCTTATATTTCGGGAGTACAGGAAGAGAAATGTCAGCCAAATAAATGCAACAGAATATAAAAAACACGGCGGGTTAGTTTAATATGGTGGCGCCTCACAGAAGGGAGGGCGGGCTTGGAGATGGCTCTTTGTACAAAAGTAGATTTAATATCATGCGAATAGAATTACCGTACTTGATTATGTTTCACACACTCTAGGCTCCTTATTCTTGGAAGTCCTCTCCATTACCGCCACTCAACTGTGTAAGGAGTCCTTCAGAAGCCCCCTCCACGGTTATCAGTGTCAGGATTCCGCCTCTCAAGTGTAGCGAAATGCGCTTTCAATGGAAACATCGAAGAAACTAACGAATTCGTTTTGAATTGAGTAAGGCCGTTGAGTTCGCAATTCTTTCGTTAGTGCGTCCATATCCATACAGTTTTGCTGAAACATTTTTATGTAATTTTTTCCTCATGATTTCATTGTCAAACTTTCAGCGCTTTTCGAGTAGGGCTGCGTTTATAGTTTGCGGCAGCGTACGCCAGCGTACGCTAGCGCACGTTTAGCGTCTTCCAGCGTTTTCCCCCCCCGGGCCCAAAAAATAAAAAAAGCTAAGGCAGATGCAAGAAGGATAGATATCGAATCTAGCGTCACGCAGCGTGTGTTAGCTCACGCTAGAGTATTTACGTAAAGTTAGCGCTGACGAGTGAGACAATGCATCTAGCATTGACGTTGGGCATGGGTCGGTGACGCTTAGATCGGGTAATCTATCTTCTTGCCACTGCGCTGGCGAAGGCTGGAAACGCTGGCATACGCTGGCGTACGCTGCCGCAAAGTATAAAGCCTAAGGGACATTTATGCGCACTCCTTCTGTTGTTACGGTGAGATAAGCCACGTTGCTACGCTCATGTCATCGCCTTTATTCTTATGGCTACAAGGAGGGGTTGATAGTGAGTACTTTTCCTACTTAAGACCTGGTACTGCAGATCGGCAAGAAAAGAGTCAAGCTGTTCGTAGGATTGACGCAATCCCAGGCTAATCGTCTGATACAGAAAACTCGCGTAGCGGCGAGGAAGTGACAAAGAATCAACACAAATAAACAAAAGACTTAGGGAAGGTTGAGTACTTTGAAAAGTACTAGGTGGTTAGGTGAAACAAGTAGTGAAAAAGGAACCATTTGTCTAAAAAGCATTCGATTCTCCCTCCCACAGGTGTACTCCCTCCATCCACCCCTGGGCCTAGGCAAAACCTCGAACTCAAACTCATCCCCTGTTTCACTGTCATATTTGCACCCCCCCCCCTCCAAACAGAATGATTATTCTCCGCAGGTAATGTTCTGATTGCAATCAATCACTGGACGGTATCTTTCCGTTGAAAATGAAACCTGTCATCAGTGCTAGTGTAGTGTGGAGGTGGTGTAGTGGCAAGTCACGCCTACCATGCAGACGATCCTGCGATCAAATCCGAGTCAGCTCCCATCCCGGCCAACCAAGCCCTCTATCTTTCGAGGCGGCGAGTCGGCACCAAACTTGTCTGGGAGGACAAGAATACTGACTTGTATATCGGCTGACCCCGCACGTCCTGTAAGCCACATCGCCCTCAATAAGTCTCTGCGATTCTGCGTGGGAATAGAAGGCGTGCCGCATCCCAGATTAGGCTGCGTTCGTGCTTTGCGGCAGCGTCCATCAGCGTCTACCAGCGACCACTAGCGTTCCAAGCGTTCAGCAGCATCAGCGACTAGGGAAGTATAGATATCGATCCAGCGTCTGCCAGCGTCCACCAATGAAGCAGCGTCATGAGGGCTAAGGAAGTATAGCTATCAGTCTAGCGTCTGCCAGCTCTACCAGTCTCTACCAGCTGTGCGGTGCGGTTGCACAAGCCGCAATTTCACGACGCCTCATTCTCCTGTTTGCTACCCTCCTACTTCCCTATACTCTCTACTCCCAGTCGCTGGTGAACGCTGGTGGGCGCAAACGCTGGCAGGCGCTGAATCGATATGTATACTTTACTAATCGCTGATGCTGCCGGACGTTCGGAACGGTAGTGGTCGCTGGTGGACGCTACCGCAAAGTATGAAGGCAGCCTTAACGACGAGGACTTCAGTCATTCATTCTTCTATCAGAAGTCAGTGAATTCATTCTTCTATCATTCATTCTTCATTCTGAAAGTCAGTCAACGTGGCTTACTATCTGGCAATGCTCGGAAGGAATGCGTACAGAATCCCCGTCCCTCCTCCAAGCTAAACAGCGAAATGATGTGTAAGCTGAAGTTATTTGCAAGAATTTCTCAGAACCGGCAAGCCACTGAAAGTGCCCACCCCGTGTTGCATTTTTTCCTGCACGTATGCGATTGCCACAATCGTTCCAGTTCCCGATTCCAGCTGAGGGCAATGCCACCGCAAAATTGGTTTTGTCGTACCACGCACCTCAGAGAGTAGATTCTGAAACATCGAACATCATCGAGGCTCCATTAATTGAGGCATCTATGCTAACCGTAGCAGTAAGTCGTGTAGGTGGCACTCCCCGATCAGGCCAATTTTCCCATTGATAGTGCATGACCATCTGCGATGCTGGTCGTCCATTCTGTAGAAAGTCCAATTTCAGGCGACACACTCTCACGAAGTTGTCCTCTTCCGACATTGGTCGAACCTTCAATACATATACATGAGTTGAATTATGTAGTTTCTTTCCACTGCGGAGTTGATACGGGAGAAAGGATGTATGCAGGGTCTTTTCACTGGATTTGCGGCACAATCAGCCTCCACTCTTGACCCGGAGGCTATCAGGTTGAAGATTTGATCTCGAAAAATTCGATGGTATCACGATTTCGCTCTACGATCCGCTACCCTCTGTCTCCTTAGCGTAGTTTGAAACGTTAGTGGGTGAGCTGCTTCGATGATATGCTTCTTTGCTGGGCTTATGTGATTACTGGACTCCACTTGCAACTTTTATCTGTTTGAAGCATTGTTTTACCAACAGTTGTTTTATAGGTGATCTGCTGGTGAGGTGAGTGAGGCAGTCCAGAGAAGTAGCGGAAGTCCGGAATCCCGATCCCACGGAAGAAGTCGTTTGTTTACAAACCATGTTTTCCTTCGGATATTGCAGCTACAGTCGAAGGTGCGCATATTTTTTTCTACTATGATTTTTTGCCTGAGTTTGTTTCGAGCACTGAGGTACAGGTTAATCTATATTTCCACAATCGAGCAAGGAAAATGTGACTAGCCAGAACTGGCGTCCCTCTGCTAATGGTGACATTAATATGAGCACAACTTGGCTCTCAAATAATATCGTGATCACGCCATGCCAATGAGTAAGATCCTCTCGCCATGCCAGTGAGTAAGATTCTGTCCCAAATATGGTTTTCTGGAGATTCCTCAGAGTGCAGCGATGCCGCTGCTCCTTTCACTTTAACATAAGGCTATAAAACATGCTAGCCGGGGAGAACTCATTAGAAACCACCCAGCACCACTTCTCGTTGACGGATCTCCAACGTACGGGGAGCCGTAATCACAACACTCATTACGCATTTAGTTGCTGGGCTGTGGGGCCTTAAGAACAGTCACGGTGAGTGCGCCGAACTAGGCCTTGCAAGCGTGGTGGCGTGAGCAGCGTCCACACCGATATATTCAGCAGCGGAAGAGGCGCCGCGCATCGGCTCTGTCGTTCAGTTCCTTTCGTACCACGATACCGCGACTGGAATTTAGCGCTCCACACCGCAGCTACATCGCCAGTTATGGAAGTAAGTACCAACAGTGCGCAAAGTTCTGCACTTTTCGTAGCCCCCTCCTTCTCAAGGTGGACTTCTGTTGACTACATTTTTTCTTTTGTCGTGTTAAATATCTCCCACAAATTGCTTACAAAGCTTCAGCATTTCATCATAGTGACGAATGCCTTACCAATTAAGGAAACCGGATAACCACTCTCCGGAATAAAATCTGAACATACATCAAGATTGGTGACTGTTATCCTCCCTTCTCCTTCACCAACGGAGTAGACTTCACCTTTGTCATGTGGCCAGTACTGAGAGCATTTGAATTTTCCCTGGAAGGAAAATTATTAACCAGCAGATTAGACGTAAAAACCTTGCTTTGCCACAGCCGATGGAAATATCGGAATTCAGCTTCTTTATTTCCTCACCCATCACCCCGTTCCTATTTTTCAAGCTTTGGCAGGAAGCC